TTATATATATATATATATATATATATATATATATATTATTGTTTAAAAAAATTCAGAACTTTATAATGAAATTGTGTGTAGTAGAATTAAAGAGGAGAGAGTTTAGTGTTCTCCAGGATATAAACTGGTTCAGAGCAGCAAGGTATGAAGGTGTATTCCCATTAAAGAACACGGAGACAGATCTCCAGCTTGGGGTGATTTATTTGTTGTTTCTGAAATAACAACACAAAAAACTATTAATTAACTTATTACTATAGGCAATAGAAATCTGAGTAGATTTGGTCACAGGTAACTTTACTTGTAGTTGAGTACATTTTTCTTCAGTACATGATTTTAGCACTTCACTGTGACTGCTCTGAACTAAACCTAGGTCCATTCAAACCATCCTGCTGATCACACAATAATCCATCACAGACTGGCTTATGTTCTTACAGATGTTTGATTACAGATGTTTAACGTCGTGCCTAATTTCACCTTTTTGCTCAAACACATAAATGAAAAGGACCCGTAACAAGCAGAGCTTTGGGTGTGGACAGTAAGGAGGATTTGATGTGTTCAGTTGATACTTTGGTCTGTTCCTCAGCTCAGGAACAAAGCTCACATTGTTGTACTTTAATTTGTTGCTTTTCCTCACACTATCTCAACAAGCTTTCTGCACAGACGTTTCTTCATATTACCAAACAGAAGACACAAGAAGACTGACTGCTCATAACTTTACCCCCACAACAAATAGTACACAGAATCACCCTGTAGCTCACAGTAACTCAGTATGAACATGTGCGCAGAGCTAAGATCGTTTTGTATTGATTGTGTAATTTAACGCTCACATCACACAGTCACCTGCTGATCATGCTGATCAGCTGGAAAAGCACTCACAGAGTTGTGTTGCAGTAAACAGACCCCGTTCAAACATCAGAAGTTTAGTTGTTCATCTCGAGACTGAACATCTTCAGGACAAATGAAGACGTTGACCTGAAATTTTAGGCAGCACGGTGGATCAACTGGTGGAGCTGCTGCCTCTCAGAGAGCAGGTCCACGGTTCAAATCCCGGTCCGGGTGCCTTTCTGGGTGGAGTTCTCTCCGTGCATGCGTGGGTTTTCTCCGGGTACTCTGGTTTCCTCCCACAGACCAAACACATGCATGTTAGGCTGATTGGTAACTGAATTGTCCCTACATGAGAAAGAATGTTTGTCTTGTTTGTCTCTGTGTGTCCCTGTGATGGACTGGAGACCTGTCCATGTGTCCCCCGCCTCTCCCACAGTGATTGCTGGACATGGGCACCAGTGACCCTCGTGACCCAAAAAGGAAGAAGCGGGTAAAGATGATGGATGGACGGTCTGAAGGCACCTGTTGTCCACCTCTAAAGGATCTTGATCAACTTTAAAGCGGTCTGAACCACAGTGCCCCCCCCCCCCCACACACACACACAAATGTTTTATCAAAACGACCATCTCGGCACCGTGATGTGTGCTGGTACTTTATTGGA